ACACTGATACAAAACATTCAATATTACTGAAGATATGATTAGAGAGAAACAAAGAATGGCTTTCTGTTCACGTATTAGTGATATTATTATAGGCATACAGCTTGAATATATTACACTGAACGTACAACTGAGCAACTAGCTATTCAACAACAGAAAACCCACTTTTCTTCATTCAAAGGTCAAATTTTGTCGTCATCATCTTACAAGTACGGTTTCATTAAGCTCCGCCCACATCTTGTTTTAATGTCATCTGAGATTCATCAGGTTTCACTCTTCACTCAGTTATCTTAGCTAAAGATTAGCTCAATATTTTCATAACAGGATCAGACAAATCTGATTTATATTGTTAAATCTTTATCTTTCTTAAACCCCTCAGAGTAACTCTGTTTAAGAGGCAGTTAACATGATTTATTTACTGTTTTGTTTGTGTGTCACAGGTAAAAAAATTGTGAATTTATATACCTTCATTTTAGACTTTCTCTCTTTCTTTCTTTCTTTCTTTCTTTCTTTCTTTCTTTCTTTCTTTCTTTCTTTCTTTCTTTCTTTCTTTCTTTCTTTCTGTATTTCTGTCTTTCTCTGTATTATTTATCTAAACGTTTCCACCATGTGTCCAGGTGTTGCTCTGGGTCTTGAGGTCCGTCAGTCCGACTCCGACCTCATCAGAAATCCCAGAGACGACGTTCAGGTTTTCTGCAGCCACGACAAAACCGACTTCAGAATGATGCTGTGGTATCAAAGACGACCTGGAAAAACCTCCTTGAATCTCATTGGATATCTGAACTACCAAGCTGCCACAATGGAGGCTTTATTCAACAAGAGTTTCAGCATCCAAGGAGATCTGGGAGGAAGTGGTGCAAAGAACGGCTCTCTGCTCATTAAGAAAGTGGAACGAGAACACAGCGCAGTTTACTACTGTGCTGCTAGCAAAGCACAGTGACAGAAATCTCTTCTGGTCTTTACAAAAACTCACTCAGATGTTTGTTTTTTTCTCCCACCGAAATGCTGTGGTTTTCCAAAAGCTGCCAATGCAGCTGCATTCATCAGCTCTTATCTTTGTTTTCTCTCCTTCTCTGTTATTGATTCACATTTATTTTGTGGCATCGGACCCTCAGTCAGAACTTTATATGAACCGGTTCAGTGAGGCGGAAAACTTAAGAGGAGGAGGTTCAACTTTGACCCCACCTTCAACAAGGACGCAACTAAATCATTATACTTGAACTTAGGAAACTCTCACTCTACACATATCTAAATTTAACCAAAAGAAGAAAACATGCTGATCTATTTAATGAGCCTCAGTTTAATCACTTTCCCAGTTTCAGGTAATTTCAACTTTTTAAACATAGTTTCCAGCTTTTTCTTTCTGCTTTCCAAATCTGTCATGATATTTTCTGATTTCACAGTTGTTAATGAAGCTTTTTCGTGAACTTTTCCCGACAGGTTCTTCTCAAAGTGACAATGTCCATCAGCGTCCAGCAGACATTTATGCGTCTCCTCCAGACAAGGAAGTCAAAATTTATTGCTCACATGAGCAAAACTTCGACAGAATCCTCTGGTACAAGCAATCAGGGAGAGACCTGCAATTCCTGGGATACTTACTTGGAGGCAGTGGAACTCCAGAAAAAGACGTGAATGTGGCGATTGATGGAGGAGCAAATAAAGGAGAAATCTGCACACTGACTATTAAGAATCTCAACCTGAACAGCAGTGCCGTTTACTTCTGTGCTGCTAGATACCACAG